TCTACACCATGACGAGAGAGGAATCGTTATGCGGCAGGCATTAGATGCAAGTCAAAGGCACAGTCACAGGCACGGAATCACGGCGGAGGCTGTTGGACGTTGAATCTAGGCCCGCATTACAATCTGTAGTCGCACTCGCACGCTGCAGGCTGCGCCGCTGGCCCGCTCTGCAGTCCAAGGCTTCGCAATACCAGGAAACCGGCCTTGCTCACGTTTTCACAATCAATAACCATCAAACGGACATTACCCCCTCACCCCGCGAGCAGAGACATTCTCGACTTCGGCCATTGGCCCCTTTCGTGGTGGCTCCTCCGACGTAGCATAAGCCTCCCGATATCACCGCGGGATACGGATCTCATCAATTGTTCGCAAGACTGAAGAGCTCCCCCATTCATTCTCGATGAGGTTGTCGGCCTTCATCTTCTAGCTTATGCGTTGCGGCTACAGAGGATTGATCATACCCTTGCGCATCCATTGGCCTCAACTTCTCGTCTTCGAATCCACAAGCTACACAGTAAGCTCCAAGAGTCAGTCGCAGAAATTTTGGCGCCATGCGCAGCTCCCAGGCGTCCCAAAAGTGCGGAATGCGGCTCGATATCCGAATTCATCTCTGGGTCACTCACGACGTGCCTTGAGGCTTTGATGACCCCCTTTCCCAACAAGGAGACCAAGACCGTGCAAACCAGATTGCATCCCCAGCCTATACAGCCCTGCAAGTACACCACTCGGCAGGCTTGTAAGCCTCCGGCGCCGACGCATCGGTTCGCGCCCCCTCCCAACAATCTCTGGTACGAATCCGCTCAAATTCTATGCACTAAGCAGATTCGGAATCGGCGTCTATAACCTGTAGGGGCTCTTATCATGAAGGATATCCGGATAGCATGGCTTTCCCCTCACGAACCGTCAAGGTCCCCGGTCTCCATTTGATGGCCGCCTTCTCGTCAGCATCGGACCTTCGTCCGATCCCGCGATGTTCTGGTTCCGCCGCTGCCGTTCGCCAAGGAGACACCAATCCTCTGATCCTCATAGCACCAACAGACGAGCAAGGTTCCGAAGAAGCAATATCTTGTGCGACTCTACGAGAGGCTGGCGCTAATAGGCCAGCCGGCCAATTCAGTCGGCTTGGTGTCAGCTCGGATGTTTTGGAATGCCCTCCCGGCGCGCCCAACTCTCAAGTCCCAACTCAATTCAGGGTTCTGCTTCTCCAAAAACCAGGCACAGGGAACAAGCATTCTGCAAATTGCGCGAGCACCTCTAACGACAGCAAACATTGCGGAGGGTGGGGATGATCCTCTCAACTCCATGTGCGGCGTGTTCGTAGAGCAAACACGCAGCTTCAAGTTATCACGCATTCTCTTCATCCGGATGTCTTCCCCGGTCTCGCTGCTCGCTGCAATATCGTAGTACTGTGCGTCGTGGCTTTCCATACCCATGGCCACGAACCAACACGCAGGATCTGCGGCGCTGCTGGGTGGGACGAGCGCGATGTCTCCTTGAGAAACGACGGTTCGTGACTTAATGACACCAAGCTTCTAAGGCTGCAACGAGCCATTTGACTTTGAAGATATTGGGCACAATGCCACAAGACCCGCTGCGAAATGGACCAAACTGCCGGTTATTAGTCAACAAACCAGGGCCGAAGAGCAATTTGTCTTGGTGCTAGTGCCCGGCCCGTCTCCTAGCCACTGCCACCATCGATCTTTTTGGAACGACTAAACGCCACCCGCAGTCCTGATATTTGGGAGAAAATGGCAGAGGCATTTGAACATGACATCGACCATTTCCGCAGCCTCATCAGCCGGGAGGACGTGGGATAGCATACCGTCAACGACGCCACGTTGAACTCTCTTTGCCGTCGGGGTCAAGCCATACCAACTTCAGTAACGTCTGGCCCCCGTTCTCAAAGTAAAGCGGAGCATATGCAGCTGTATCACAACCGTTTGTGACAAGCCCCAGCGAACGCACAATTGCTTAACGTGAGCATTTCTTAATGCAGCTGCAGGGAATTCAATCTTCCGCACACGAATGACATGCGTCTCTATGCAACAGTAGACCAGGTCTTTTGTAGAGCGCGAAATCATGAGGGGAGAAAACAGGATCGGTATGATTGCAAGGTTATACTTTAGGCGACCGTCGAACACGGCGCAAAACTCAATTCAGAGTTCCAGACTCACAGGTTGGCAAAATCTAGATCCCCCACAAATGGGAGTCGAGAATTCACTGCCGCCACGCAAAAGAAGATGCCGCCGTTTATTCAGATACGCTTGGGAAACGTGAGGAGGCACAAGAGGTTGCGTCAGCGAAACATATTCGCTCTCGCCCCATCACTGTACACAGTAGTATCATCACGCACCCGCGTCATACGAGGCAGTCAAAAACTTTGCGCAAAAGATGGAGAGGTCATTTCCCGTAGCTTCCCAAAGCAGCCTCATCTCTTGACCAACCATGTTCGTCCCCATCAGTGATCCATTTCATTTTCTTCTGCCAAAACATCATTTGGCCGGGAATTTCTGACATTGTTTCTACTATTTGGGACGGCTCTGCCACGTGGGCAACGCAATCCGCAACACATCGTCTTTTGGCTATCCGTCCGGACTAACTATTAGTGCTAGATATTTAGCTCACTCGAATCAAAAGCATGGGGAACTGAACGCCGCGTGCATCTGCGGGAGGGCAGACGTGTTCTGCCACAACCAAGATTTCCCCTTGGTCTTTCGTCTGAGCACTCAGCAGCCACGAACGCCGTCAGTGCGCGCATTTGGCAACTCATTCCGCCACTGCCCCTGGTCCTTGGGGACCCCGCCTGACGGCAAATATCCGGGGGCCGGCGAGGTCGGCGTGTTGCACTGCAATATTACGACGGTGTGCCAAACAACATACCTCGACAGGCTCCATCATCGGCGAGGCACACCGAGATGAACGAAGGCGTGGTGTCTTGACCATATGAGATACACTACAAGTGAGGCTGCCCAATCCTCAGTGTCGTTGAACCACTTGACGACTAGGGCGTCCTTCGAAACATCAGCGAATATCGGTTGGCTGTAAGCGAGCGAGGATGAGGGTGGAACAGCATACAAGATGACGAATCATGGCCAGCACTGGAAGTCATCTATGTAGGTGAGCTAATCACGGCAATGGGAAGCCAGAACAGCAGCGGGAGTCCTCCCCGAGCCTGATTTTCGAAGGACGGAGCGGTGATGCCCGAATTTCCGAGGGTCATGGATCAAACATGGTCACTGGGATGCAAGTCCTTCGCCGGTGCTCGATATGCAAGAAGAGCGTTCGGTCTCAGGCTCTATCCGCACTACTGACTCAAACACGGCTGCGCGGTCAAAGGGGTCGAGGCCGGGTTCCGCGTTGCCACGTGAAGAACGAGCCGAGGTCTCAACGGTTGCTTGTTTCCGTCCACGGCCATCCAAGACGATAATGGCACAAAGCAAGAGATTGCAGTTCCATGAATGAGCTTAACAAAAAAGACCGCGACGATGGATGATATGTCTGCTAAGCAGGCTTGGCCTTGAAAGCTCTGGCTTACACACCACAAGACAGAGTCGAAGATTCAGCCTGACCGTTCCCCCGGGTGGAATAAAGACTGCGTACTTTGACCCTGGCGAGATCTTTGCTACTTGACTGGCTAATGCAACATCAGGATATCCAGTGAAGGCATGTCGATTCCTCGCAGACCTGGTTGGGCACACAATGGGGGTCTCCGTCACCCGATCTCGAACATGAACTTCTTCTAGATCCATCGACACGGATTTCACAAGGATACCGCCCGTCTCGCTCGGCATTTCTCACTGTCGCCTAGTCTTTGGGTGTAACACAATCTCCTCACTTACTCGTGTTCCTCCTTTTTCTCTGGGTGCCCCGTCTCTGAGTACCAGGTATCCGTATTTGAGGAAACGAAAATGACTTCACAACAGACCCAGGTCAACAAGGCGCACAGTCGAGGACCTGGCTCTTGGAGATGAGGCTGTCGTTTAACACACACTCGCTCCTATGCTTTCCATCCCGGAAGGAATTGAGCCACGCTATCCACTTGTTTCGGACGTCATCGCGGACATGAAACATGGCCTTTGAAAGAAACGAAGTGGAGGGGAGGCATGCGGTTTGTTTCGTTTAACATGATGAACAGGGGATAGGTCGTTTGGGTAGGCAGGGTGTTGAGCGAACCCGAGATTGGGGCTGCCGGGATATTCGAGATTATTCCCGATCCGCCCGCGGTTGAATTTTCTAGATGTCGTTGTGAATTCAAGATGTTCATACCGTTCTTCAAAGACGTCATGTTAGTGATGATGGCTTCTTCCCCAGTGAGATTGTGTTTTCTTCTTGATGTGCAGAGTGAGATACCCGGAATTAAGTTCGGCTGCGTCGTCGAGATGGTTTGTTTCCGACCGCCCCGTGTAAAGCAGAGAGCGTGACTGTGGGGTTAATAGATCGTATTGCTTCTTCCATGGTTACGTCTACTCTTTTGCTTGTTTATTGCGGAGGCTCAGTGACCATATATATTCGAGATAGATGTGTGGCGGGCGGGCTCTCGGCAGATGTTAAGTGTGACGCACTTCACGGAGCCGTATTGCACCAACATGTACCGCGTTTTATTCTTGATAGAACTACAGACGTATCTTGGCTCATGTTCTCTTGCTTCTTATACTTAAAATTTTGTAGTATTGTTCATTTGAACCACACTTGATGTTCCTGATGAGGTCATTTCCGCGGCCGGCTTCGATCACCGCTGATGATCAGAAAAAAGGGTAGACTTCTAATCCCTTGCGTGCATCTCAGATTACTCAACAGATGGTATGAGGATAACACAAAGCCTCCTGAGGACATGTCTCCAGGTCTGTCTGAGATTCCCCGCCCGCCCGGGCTGTCCGAGCGGGACGTCGTCTTACCGCGGCCCCTCCCGGGTCCGAGAGAACAGGCGGGGTTCGGGATAGATCAGTCAGCAATCCGACCCCGCCTCCAAGGTTGATAGGTGACGACTTCCCCCCTGCACCCTTAATACTACAACAGCTTCCCTTTTCCATGATTTGCTCGAATTCACATATTCCAAGCTTGGTTATTTGAAGCAGACTTCAAGTTTTCGGCAAAAGATATCATCAAACTGAAGAGAACAGTGAAATCGAAAACATCACAGTTTCCAACAGCCAGCTCGAAATAGAGGAAACATGTCCGGCATAGCAGGCGACCTCCCCAACATCAAGGCAGAGAACCTCCGCGACCTCAAGGCGCTGACGTTTGACGTCTTTGGCACGGTCGTGGACTGGCGGTCCTCGGTGGTGGACGAACTCACCTCCCGCGCAAAAGCCAAGCTGGCCTCTGCCACATCCACCAGCGACGACAAGGGCACAAAAGAAAAGCTAGAAAAGCTCGCAACCACAAACTGGCCAACCTTTGCCCAAGAATGGCGAACCTCGTACATGCGCTTCGTGCGCGGCTACGTGCCAGGGCAGACACCCTGGAAAGACATTGACGCGCACCACCACGACAGCCTGGTCGAGCTTTTGGGAACGTGGGGGGTAGAGGGCATGTACTCCCCCGAAGAAATCCGCGAGCTGAGTCTCGTGTGGCACCGTCTCCGGCCGTGGGCGGATTCCGCGGAAGGGTTGCGCAGGTTGGGCGGGAAATACGTCACCTCGACGCTGAGCAACGGGAACAGGACGCTGTTGGGCGATTTGGATACGTTTGGCGGGCTCGGGTTTCGGAAGATTTTGTCGGCGGAGGATTTCAGGGCGTACAAGCCTCATGCGGCGGTGTACGACGGCGCGGTAGAGGTTTTGGTCGAAGGCGGTGGTGGGAAGGCGAGGGAGGTTGCGATGGTGGCTGCGCATTTGGGGGATTTGATGGCTGCTCGGGGACGGGGGATGAGAACTGTGTATGTTGAGAGGCCGGAGGAGGAGGATTGGGAGGTTGGGAGCGAGAGGTATGAGGATGCCAAGGGGTGGGTTGATATTTGGGTTAAGGAGGGGGAGGGCGGGTTTGAGGAGGTTGCGAGGCGGTTGGGTGTTTGAGAGATGATGGTGGTTAGATCACAATATGAAGCGGGATTTAAGCGTATTGTTTGTTGAGGTATTGAGTGTTCGGGTGGTGCTGCTCTCTTCTGTATCATGCATCACGAGGGAGTGGACGCGATGATCAATGATGAATATACGGCACAAGGAGGGTGGTGTTTAGCCCAATTTACCTCGGAAATTCTCAACAGCAGCAAGAAAGGGAAAGTTGCCCAGAAGCCAACGATATTAATAACCAAAGCCCGGGAGCAGATTTACCGGGCTGCAGCTTGTGGGTTCGAATCCCACAGGCGACCCCCTTTTTTCAGCTTTCGCTTTTTATAACTTCTGTTCGGATGTTATACATGCCCTTCGAGGAAATCTGAGACATAACCAAATGCGGTTCGAGGAAGAAGTGTCACCCACTATATGTAACGGATTAGTATCTGCCAAAGGTATTGTCATTAAGCCTAGTAGTATGGCAGTAATACTCGAAGGATATTCTTGTTGAATACAAATCGTGAGAGACTCACTATTGTATACAAAAAGATGCATGCTATGCAAGATGAAGTCCTGTTGTCTTAGATACCAATGAGCCGACGTTATTTGTCCTTTGTCTCGTGGAAACCTCATAAAGGTGGAATCTCGGAGACTACTCTAGTTACTAAGTGGATTCCCTCTTTGGTCTTCTCTTTCTATTCTCAGTGCAAACGTCGCGCGAATGGTTGAGACTTACAGGGTGAGGGCAGTGTCACTACACTCTGCGAAGGCTCTGAGGATCCAGACCGACCATGACATTCTTGATAAGCATTCTCTCAATTAGCCTGAAGTTGACACTTGAGTTCTGCGCGCTGGTGCTCTATCTTCGTGTTCAAAGGAACCGGAGAGCATCGCTGGTGTCGTTAGTGTATTTGTGGACGCGCATTGCGACGCAGAGTTCTGCGATTTCATTCTCCGCGAGGCAGGAGAGCATTTACTACGTTTACTACGGTACCACCGAGAAGAATATATAATCACGGGTGGTGCTCTTGACCAATCTTTCCATGCCATTGATTGGCCTAGTAGTATAGACGAAGGCACCTTGATCGCGTCGTTAAGGTACTTAGGCTAGTCCGAGATCAACTGTGTCTGTGGCTTTGACTTGTCCTGGCCGTACATCATCTACATCTAGGACAGCCCGTATAGCAAAGTCATCACCTTCATACACGTACGCCCTTCTTTTTGTTCTCTTGAGGCGTATTCCTCTGGGATACATCAGGGACAAATGAAGGAAACGCGCGCGGGGATGGGGTCTTCATTGAACATGCTAATATAATTGGATCATGGATCGTCTTGTCGGGACTGGCGAGGATGAAGAACGAAAGGCTGTTCTCAGCTCAATTAAGGAGGTGAATGCCCACCACGCAAGTTTTCTTTGCTGTTGAAATTCAAGCTTCGTAATCGAGGATCTAGATTAAATAGTCTTTTAGTAGTAATACCCAGCCGTATAAACTGCGGCCTGGTATAAGGAGAAGAACACTGTCTAATAGTCTATGTTCAAGATCATTTTGGAAGGTGTGGGTATGGATTGTTGCTGCTTCGACGTATTAAGTAGAAGCTCATGTCACATATCCAGTACCATGGCTTCTCTCTATGGTTTCAATTCTAGCAGTTCTTACAATGAGTTGCAGGACTATGTTTAGTAGGTTCAATTGCAAGACTACAAGCCGGAACTCAGTCCGAATCCCTCCCAAGCATGGTTTCTCCCATCTCCATTTATCACCATCAGTTCAAGTCTTGTTGCAGGCTGGCCAGATGGCATCTTCCTTTGACACTGCAAGTAGTCATCCCGAGGCTGTCATCGTATTGAAAAATAGCTCATTTTCACTTAGACTTCAATCAGTGCTTCTCAAAATTCTGTTCTTAGACCAGATGGTACTTCTTCCCAAATATTATCAGAGTTTCTCAAGCTGCCGCGTGATAATATACACCATGCAGCACCAAAGAATTGACAAAAGACGACGGAGAAAGCCGTCATGAGTGAACGCGGGCCATACTAACTTGGTCAAAGCATACAGAGTACTTCTTCACCCAAGCACCTCTTGATCCATGAACGCTTATGCAAAGAAGCAGCTCTTTCGAATACCGGGATGGCTTGACGTACATCAAGCGGAGTTGCTGCAACTGTCTAAAGCCTGGTCTCTGAAGAGGTCTGATTGAACTGATTCATTTCCGTCTCTGTCAAGCCACCGTAGAGGTCGTTGACCGAAGTCCCAAGCCAGCTCAAGTACCGAAGATTCACTCAAAAAGAGAGACGCTTGATTCGGAGCTGCCGGACGAGGTACACAACAAATTATGCGTCGATGTTGTACTAGTCTGAAACCATGAAGGGAATTACGAAGCACACGTCAACCTTGACAAAGTCGCCAAACTAGAATTTGTTCTTGAACAAGCCGAACTAATGAACAGTCAAATCGCAAAGTCTAATCAGGGTGATGAAACCTCCTAGGCAGCGTTTCTGTGTTATACATACAGTTCGGAAGACTCGACAAGTCGTAGACTCATAGCTCCAAGTCGCCGAACTTCATCCCTCCAACTAACCCCTGAAGTGCTTAACATTGGCCAGAATTTTCACGAACCTACACAATACAATCAAAACAGAGTGGTGGGAGAATTGTGATTCCCAAAGAATCAGCAAAGCTTATACCTCGGAACAAAGCGGACCGAAGCTCCTGGCGCCAAAACATATCCTCAGCCCATCAAACTGAGGATACTGCGGGCCTGATCAAAGCATCACGGTTGTATCACATTAGAACATTATAGTGATCTTCCTTTACCGCAGTGCTGAGACTGACCAGTGAGCTCATGCTCATTCATTGGCAACATATACGCTTCGGCATCAACAATTCCATCGTGTTAGATAGCGAGAGCAATGATCCGTAGTCGATCAAACAGCAAGCCGTCAATATCCGCCTCTCGGCTTCCGGCCCCGAGTCCAGACGGTCCATACCGAATGTTATAGGAGTCTCATTTAATCTTCAACGACTCAGCCGTTCAAGTGGTGAAGTGGAGAAAACCGCTGACCGAACGACACGGCGTCGGCAAACGTTCCCCGTTCCGGCGTAGATTAGATCCAGAATCTCCCCATTTTCCAACACCGGTGTAAGCCCCGTACAACGCTCGTCCAGCTACCTCACCTTCTCCAAAGTCTATCTTCAGCCGTGGGGGCATATCAGCCGTCGCTGCTCCCTCCATCATCGCGTCGCGCGTCGGCCTCACCCGCTCCATCCGTTTCGAGGCGAGGTGCCACACCTCCAAGCGGGCTTGTCCGACGGGCTCTAGGCCACTACCCTCCCCTTCTACATCCTACCACACCACACACACGAATCGAACATGGACCCAGCCAGATTCCCGCGAGACGGTTAACCTCCTACCCCGGCTGCCCCCACGCGGGATGATCGCCTATGGTGCGACCGTCCTCTCGGTGAGGCAGTCGCGGGAGATAAAATACGTAAAGATCTAGATGAAGGGAGAGAGACCAAGTCGAACAGACCTGCCTCGATTTACACGACCTTTGTCATCGTCCACGGACGTCGTCAACAGCCCGAACTAGTTCAAACAGGCAAGATTATGCCGTAACTTTGAGTTCAGCCTAGCAGACCGAGACCCTCGAGCGATTGGCCGTTTCCCCCTCCCAGGGCTGTGAGACGATTCCCAACCTCGCGTTGGTTCCTTGGAGAACATCAGACACTGGGTCGGTATTGTTCGTCCTGGGCTCCCTACTCCACCCTCCCGCCGGAACAGATATGTGATCAATATCTGCCGGACGGTTACGTTTCCCGGTTCGGCTATTGGAGCCATTGGAGAAAAGGGCACAGAGCGAGAGATGTTTGGAACTTTGGGATGGAGAAGGGAACCCGGAAGGGCAAGACAAGTCCTGCAGCAACGGCAGTGGCAGCAGCGCAACAAGCATGGGAAGGGGATGAATGACGACCTTTGGCGTTCATGCCAAGTTGACCCAACGACTCCAACGAGCCGGGGGATAGGGAGATCTTGGAGCAGTTCACCCCTTCTCTGCCACAGGGACGCAAACTTGGCGAACCCGGGGGAAAGCCGTCCCAGGTTTCCCAGCCGTACGTTCGTGATTTCCCCTTCTCTCGCGCCAGCCTCCAGACAGGCCTCCCGTTTGATCCCATCGCCCAGCCGCGTAACTGCTGGCCGCCGGAGCTGAGCCCCGAGAGCGGTGATTGGCAGGCACCGTCCGAGATCCGTAAGAGAGGAACACATGGGGCCAAGTATTAGCAAGGGCCGCCGCCTGCCTCCCTTGCTCCTATCCATGATCCCCCTCCCCCCTCCCCTTCCCTCGCGCGGACGGGGGGAAGACGATAGAAGTCCCGGGAGTTCGATAACTTGGTGGTGGTGGTTGAACTACGAACCCGCGAGAATGCACATCCCGTTCCGCGGGCCCTCTTTCTTCGCAAGTTCGCACCACACGGACCACACCATTGAGGAATTAAAAGTCGCGCCGCATTGAGCGGGCAAGGGTCTTGACTCGGGATCCCTACAAGACCAACGAGCGGTTCCTAGGGTCCCCCATTTGTTACTGCTGCTGCTGCCTATGGGGACTTCAAGAGAGAGCTGTTAGGAGTTAGGACGAAGTGGCTGCGAAGCACCTGCCATATTGGGGAGTTTGAGGAGCAACCATTTTCAATGTTCGGAAAGAGGACGCAAACACAACGTTCCATCCTTACGCGAAGGAATATGCGCAAGAAGGAAGCAATGAAGATTAAGAAGAAGAGAGAAAAACAGCGCAAAAGATTGCGTGCGATACCGACGGCTGGGACTAAGTCACGTTAGGCCCTAGGGTCCAAGATGAACAGTGACAGGGACCAGATTGGGCGATAGGTAGGTCGCAGGGTGACTAGGGAAAGAGGAAATAGACAACAGTCCAAAGGTCTAGATGCCGATCTTCAGTTCTTCTCGCCTGACAATTGCGAGCGCAACTCTTGTACGGAGTACTGCTTGCAACAAGCGTAAACCCC